CAAACAGACAGTTAGAGCTCACTCAAGGGGCCGCAGGCAGACTGAGCTCAAGTGCCCAACTACTCTTGCTGGCTGGCTGGCCTTGGACAAGCTGCCTGGTCCTCCTGGGCCTCAGGTTCTCCAGCTGTGAAAGGGAAAAGTAAGAGTACTTTCCTCAGAGATAAGAGTGAGAGGAAGCAGTGAGAAGTGAGGAGACTGGTACCTGTGACATCATCACCATGCATGAGGGGTGGAGATTGTTGGTACCTGTGACATCATCACCATGCATGAGGGGTGGAGATCACTGGTACCTTGACATCATCACCATGTATGAGAGGTGGGGAGACCTGTACCTGTAATAGCATCACCATGTGTTGCAGGAGGTTGCTTGTTTGTGCGCCAACATGGCCAACTAAATCCACTTAAAACCTGAGAGAGCTTGAAAAGAAATTCTAGGCAAAAAAGAACAGAGTTTAGCACCGTTTCTTGGTAGCTACAAACTTTTTTTTTCCTAGATGGGTTCACGTCAAGCAAGGGCAGGCTGCTTTAAGAGAAGTGCAGTAAAAACTGTGCAGCTTCTTTAAAAAGCAGCGGCGTCCTGGTTTGCTAGCACAAACCGCTCTGACTCTTTTGAGGTCCAGCTACAGAGCACTTAAATGGGCTTTGTGAGCAGAGTGCCACAACTTGCTTAATGGCAACACAGACCCTCTGTGTGCCTGAAAACGGGGCAATGTGCATGGATCTCGGAGGCAGCAAACAACCATGTGTGAGGAGTGGGGAGATCTGGTACCCTGTAACAGCATCACCATACATGAGGGGTGGAGATCGCTGGTACCTGTGACATCATAACCCTGCATGAGGGGTGATCGCTGGTACCTGTGACATCATAACCATGCATGAGGGGTGATTGCTGGTACCTGTGACATCATAACCCTGCATGAGGGGTGATCGCTGGTACCTGTGACATCATTGCCTTTTAAATTTTGCTCTATGAGTGGGAAATCTCAAGGAGAGAAACTTCTGCAGCAGGTATTGGGAGCCATGGCTGTTCTTCAGCAAGAGTGTTAGATGATGTGATGTGCATTGTGGGACAACCAGAATCTGGTGCCAGAGGCCCAGATAGGGTTAGGCGAATGCCGGAGTAGAGGACACACATGCAGAAGGGGGGAAACAGATCAGGTCCTACATGCCAGATCCCAGGCTTGCCTCCAGGAACTGCGAGCATGCCCACTGCTACCTAGGCCCAAACTGACCCATCACTCTCTGCCTGCATTTGTTATTTCAGGCAAAGTGAGAACTGGAGCCTCCCTGTCGCTGGTGAGAGCCTTGGGATATGAGAAATCCGTGTTGTCTGTGAACAAGGTGAGAGGCGTGTAGAAATAACCAGTGTGGGCGGGGGTGGCCTACATGCCACCACTCCTGGCTCTGTCAGGTTGTGGGCACCTGTAAGTGAAAAGCCAGTGCTCCTCCCCACCTGCCTTTCGTCCTTTAGCCCCTCACTCACTTATTCAGGAACATTCTTGATGGCGTAATATGTGCTAGGCATGGCTCCTAGTGCTTCAGGTCATAGAAACAGAAAACACTGTCGCCCTGAGATAACCTACATTCTAGCAAGAGAGACACCTATATAAACTAATATATAGAATAGAGTAAATAAAGGCTGGGAAGGAAAAGAGACAGGCTCAGAGAGAAAGTGGGATGCTGGTATGGATGGGGTGGGCAGGAAAGGCCTCTCTGAAAAGGTGATGCTTGCTGGTACGTGGAAGGCAAGATGGTGAGCCCTGTGGATGGTGGGGAAAGTATCCTACCAAAAGGACCAGCAAGTTCAAAGGCCCTGAGGCTGAGGTGTTTACTGTTCCAGGAAAGATGAGGAAGAGGTCTGGGATATGAGGCAGCGCCCAATGCTGTAGACCTCAGATTACACACACACCTGTGTGGTTAAAAGACCTCAGCTTGAGGAGAGCAGAGTGACTGCTGGGTTGTCCGTGCAGCTGCCCCGAGGAGTACGGTCAGCAAGGCCTGACACACCCTCAGTGTTTGATAAATGACTGGGAAACAAGTACCATTCCCGGCTGCAGCTCGGAAAGGGGCTGCACAGAGTCAGGTGCCTCACACCTGCGTCGGCCTTAACAACAATGTCAGCACCAACTGTCTGTCATCTTCATACTGAGCTCATGAGGTGAATCCTGGTATGGTCTCCTTTTTCAGATGAGGAAACTGAGACTCAATGACAGCAAGATCTTTTCCAAAGCCACACAGCCTACTGGTGGCAGAGTCAGGATTTGCGATTGAAACCTGCTCCCATAACCCCTTGCTTTTGTCCAAATTTCTTCATGAGCCAGTCAATGAAGTGTCCATCTTGGTCAGCAGACCAGTGGGAATTTATTAGGCACCTACTATGTGCAAACACTGGCCACAACAATGAACAAAAGAGAAGGAAACCTCTGGCTCCTTAGAAGAGGAAGGGATGCTAATGATGAGAAAGCCCACAGACGACTTGCTGACCGCCCTACTGTTGTAAGGTGTTCAGCCCTGCTCTGCAGAGGCACTCTGGGCCAAACCTGTGATTCTTATAAGTCCTGATTTTCCTCCAAGGTGCCCATTAGGATCACGGAGCTCCTGAGCCATTTAATTATGGAGAAATCCCCAGATCTAAATCCATATTCCCCCTACTTCCAAGTGTTCCATTTGCCTCTATTGGTTCCTCTGTAGCCAGCAATTCATCGGTTGTGTTCTATAGCTGGGTGCACCATACATTTGAACTAGTGTGAAGAGAGTAAAACAGAGTGAGTTAAAGCCAGCATGTGAGAGGAGACGGTGGAACACAGACGACAAGGTCATGAGCTCGTCGCTCACTTCTACTTTGCTTGGCGCTGTGATCAGAATCCAATCTTGGGAAAAAGACCAGAGCAAGTTTTATTATTACACTTAGTTTTGTTTCGATTTGTTTTTCAATAGACAACTGTTTAAAACTCAGGTGTCCTCTATTGATAGCCAGGAGTCTGCATTTATAAAATGTTTTAACAACCCCCTGTGGGCTTGAGGACAACTGCCATACACACACAACCACTGAGTACAAACCCTTCGACTGGGCCACAGAGCGCTAGAAGAAATTACTGTTTGTACCCAAACCCTCAGCTTACAACTGTGTTACGTGCTCTGCACATGCATGTTCGGGTCATGACTGGTTCCCAACACCAGGGATTCCTTCATGGAGGACAAAAGCAGGGCAACCCCCAAAAAGCAGGAAGTAAAAACCAAGTCAAAGCAATAAACTAACGGAATTGACTCTTCTTTGATTCCAGGGTGCCCTCAAGCTCACCCCAGTCTCCTCCTAGAACCCTGGCTCTTCTCCCTCCTGGTGAAGACCTGCACTGGAGCTGGCCAGAACCGGCCAGGTCCCAGCTGGGAGTGTGGGAGCCATCCATGTAGACTACCCTCCGCAATCAATAAATACTCGCCATTGACTCCTGTTGTCAGGGTGGTTTTATCCAGCATGCAAGTCACCTGCCTCTGGCAGGCTTAGGATAGAGACCTATGGGAGGGGTTCAGACACCCCTGAGCCAACCTGGACAAGTCTTTGTCATATGGAAACTCCATGACCACAGAAGGCTAGTAGGCCTGGTTGGGATCACCTCCCTCTGGAATGGCTTTTGAGCACCTACTTTGTTGATCTTGTTGGCATGGTAGGTCATGTGCTCTCTGAGCCCTGTGGTTCTGAAGACAGGCAAACAGGATGTGGCTTCCCCTGGGTGGGCCTCTTTGCCCTTCAAGCAGGAAGAATCAGGGTTCTCACCTTGCAGAGCTGAGGTGAAGATGAAATGAAGTGCCTGCTGGCACTCAGCCAGTACACCATGGCCTGACAGGCACTCGCCACCTGACCTCAGGGAACGTTTTATCACCAAGGCCTTTCCTACTCAGACAAGCGTGAGGGCCATTGTCTCCGAGCTTCCTTGAAGGCCCAGGTTCTGAGACAAGACAATTGGCCTCTGTTCTTTAGGCCTGGGTTGTGCTCATACCCAAACACAGCCTTCAGTCACACAAGAGCCTTTACAGGAAGACAGGAGCGGTGTCTGGGAAGGGGCAGGCAGTACTGGGTGTCAGAGCACGATCTCCAGGTGAGGGCTGGAGCTCACGGAGGGAAGGGTGGGGCAGGACAGGAGAAGTGATGTAATGATAGTATAATCTCAAATAACTAAGCTTAAGACAAAAAGAAAATAAAAATGGAGCTAACACCTGTCCTGCTTGTGCCCTGAGCTGTGTAGAAGAAAACCCCAAGCCAACTGGAGATGGTCCCGTCTGCTGTGGGGTGGCCACACCACCCAATAATGAAGGAGCTGCGCTCACCCAGCTCGACACATGCAGAAGCAAGGGGGATGGGTCCCCACAAGGCAGGGCCTCTGCACAGCTAGGTGGCAGAGAGCTCAGGCTTGGAACCGCTGTCATAGAGCCACCAAATCTCAGTGCCCTTTCTGGGCCCTGACATCAAATCCCAGCTTTCCCTGGGCATGCTACCTGACCTTGATGGGGGCACTTACCCCTCGAGAGTTCAGTTCCCTCGTGGATAGAATGTAAATAGTCATAACAGCTGGTTAGCCCCTCCTGTGCACCAGGCCCGTGCTCACATCTGTATGAGTGGTCACAGTGACCTTCACCATTCCCCCAAAGCCATAGGTATGTTTATCATATTCTGAATGAGGCTTAGAAGAAAATGAACAAGGCTTGTTCTTCATTGCTTAGCTCCTGTATAGTGAAAGCTACCGTTCCAGGGCCTGTCTGCAATTTTGGTGACCACACCTGGGCAGAAATGAGATGAGGGCCTAGGTAACATACATAAGAAAGACATGGGAATAGCAGCGGCAAGGTGGCCGGCCATAGACACTGTCAGCCTCATCTTTGCCCCTCAACTGCTACACATACACACACACACACACACACACACACACACACACACACACATCCTCACCCCCTCGGGCTCCATGCCAGTCACATCTGACATTAGTAGCCTCTGCACCCCTCACAAGAACTGAAGATGTGCCAACAGGAAGGGCCCAGGCCTGCCCTATTTCCTCCTTGGGGTCTGCTGGCCACATTTTGAGCTTACCTCTCCTGCCCCCTAACCCCCACCTCAGTAACAGGTTTTATTAATTTTGGCCAAAAGCCCCTCGCTACACAGAGCCAAGAGGAGTGATTCTTCCCCTGAAGAACTCCTGAGTGTGCCAAGCCCTGGCCAGGGGCCTTGACTTCCCATCATGTGCCCACCCCTCGCTCCAGAGTTTGGCTATAAGAGCAATCCTTCAAGAAAGCTGATGGCACCGGCCTGAGAGATTCTAGAAGGCTCCATTCGGGGAGTGGTAAGGACAAAAATGACAGCACCCGCATACTCAGACTGCACCCCATTATCATATGGTGAAATAAAGCAGAGGTTCTCAGCATCCAGTCGTGCTGGGTTCAGATCCAAGCGCTCTGCCTCTTACTCTGTCACCATGGGCGAGTCTGGCCCAGAGCAGGACATAAAAGGATGGATGTGGGGGTACAGAGTGGGGGCATAGGGCCGTGGGCTCCTGGAGAGGACAGAAGCTCTCACTTCCACGGCCACAGGTCCTAACAGGAGAATGCTGCTGCTCTGGACACTGCTGTTGTGCTGGCGGCTGCTACATCGAGTCCAAGGGATGACCCATAGTCCTCTCCTCCTGCGGATCAGCGAGAGCCAGCTGGAAACAGGTGACTCTCAAGGAGAGGCATGATCTCCAAGAAGGCAGAGCAGGGGACAGCTCTGGGCTTCTCCTCTGGCCTCCCACTTACCAGCCATCTCTGCTGTCCTTGTCCCTCCTTGGCTCTAACACTTGCATGGCCCCCACTTGTCATGAGCAGTTCTTACCCTGACATTCAAAACTCTGTAACTCGTGTCTTTACCTCCATGTTCCCTATCCACGACCTGGGTGTCATGGCTGCTTCCTTGGCTGGTGTGGGCCCTTCCCCGTTTCTTTCCTTCTCAATGTAGTGTACTCTGCCTGGGCCTGGAAGACAAAGCCCTCAGCTCTTCTCCTACAGAAACCTCTTCTGATCTCTCTGTAGCAGTTAGGTCTCTCCTCTGACAGAACCCAATGGCCTTGTCCAGGCACACCTGCCAGCCTGGCTATCTGTCTGCTGTTCTCCCTGCCTCTTGTCTGTGAGGTACTTGTCCCAGCTTGAAAATCTGGTTCGGAAATTCACCTGCTCTCCCTAGAACCTTCCATATTGAGATCTTTCACTCCCATGAGATGTCTGTCCCACGGCTCGTCCTCCTCCTCAGCACAGGGCCCTCTCTGACCATCATGTCTGAAGCAGGAACTCCTCACTCAACGTTCTTCAACTCAGCCCTGTTTCATTTTCTTTGTATCAAAACATGCTGTGCTTGCTGACCTGACTACTAGTTTGTCTTTCTCCCCGACTAACATGTCAACTCTGGGGCAGCAGGAGCCACACTGCCTCCTGAGCTCAGCAGACTAAGACTTGCCCACTGAAATTGATGGCAAGGTGAGGATGAGCCAGGAGAATGACTTGATCCCAGGACTTTGAGAGCAACCTGGTCAAAACAGTGAGACCTGAGCTCTGGTCTCTCCTAAGAACTTGTTGCTGAATGGCTGTCTTGTCTGCCAGCTGGGCCCGGGTGCTGGTGGGTGTCTGCTGGACGGCTGTCTTGTCTGCCAGCTAGGCCCGGGTGCTGGTGGGTGTCTGCTGGATGGCTGTCTTGTCTGCCAGCTGGGCCTGGGTGCTGGTGGGTGTTTGCTGGACGGCTGAATGGACCCTGAGGAGATGCTCTGCCCCCAGACATTTCAGATCTATTCACTAAGCACCAAGTCCTCAAGGGTCTGATCAGGATGCCTGTAACTGGATCCCCAAGTGAGGGTGTGTCTGTCCTGGACACCCTGCCCTTCGTCAGAAAGGAGTTGGTTAGGAAGAAGAGTGGGCTGGACTTGTCGCTCGTAGGGGACCTGCTCTCCGGAAAGACCATGCCTGAGCTGAAGAAGTTACTGGAGACAGCTGGGTGAGTGTCCAGCAAGGCAGCCTCTGCCACTCTTCTCCCTCAGGAGGCTTTTCTCTGACAAGTGGAGCGGAGGTGGGCAGTGCGGGGGACCTGGGGTCAACAGCATCTCCCCAGCCTCAAATGCATGAAGCAGGTTTCCTCCTACTACGTGGCTACCTTTCTAGACCTCTCCAAATCCCCATACACATGGAGGCAGTGCAACCCATAATGCTGATTTCCCTTAAAATGAAAATTTGGTCACACCTGACAAGCATTTGTGTCAGGTCTACAGTCCCTTAGCCGGTCCCCAGATGTCCCACCATGCTATCTGCTCAGCCCTGAAAGCCCCGGGTTGGAGCCTCCTATCCAAGCAAGAAACTGCCTAAATGAATGGTACTGACATTGACTGGGGCCATGCCTTCCCCAAGGTGATCTGCACAGCCACAGGCTCAGCCCTGAATACATGAGTCCCTCCCCAACATGAGCAAGGAAAGACCCATAGGTCCTAAGACCCCAGGTTTCAAAAGAGTTTTTTTCCGGTGGGGTGAAAAGGAGTGAGAAGCCATGGAATTATAGTGTAAGGAGAACTACCCAGGGAAACTTGGGAGGTACCATAGGCAAATACCACCCCAGCCATGCCAAGTATTGGTACTGTCTACCACCACTGCACCTGGGTAGTCACACCATGGCTATGAGCCTATCCCTAGCCCAGGACAAGGCTTGGGAAGGGCAAAGGAAAACACCACATGGTCTGATCTAAAAATATCCTCCAGGCTGAGCAAGAGCATCACAAGTTCCATCCTTAGCTACATATGAGACTAGGCCAGGCTGTATGAGACCTTGTTTTGAAACAAACAGAGACCAAAAAAAAAAAAACAAAACCTCCAGAAGACTCCATGCTGGTGGCCAGGTTTCCCCTGTGATAGAATGTGTTGCTGCCTGACTCAGTGGCTCCAGAGAAATCACCAGCTGACACTGGTGTCCATAATGCAACCTTGACCCCTAGGAATCCAGGAATGGGAGGCACCTGAGGCCTCAGAAGGAAGCAAAGTGCTCAAGAGAGCCCACGGATCCTTCACGGATGGCAGAGGGGCTGTTTATTCATGCTTTTGCCTGCTGACTTTTCTTTTGAGAAACTCGTAGAGCCTTGTTCCCTATACCTAGGGATCAAACCCAAGATCACGTGTATGCTAGGCAAGGCTTCTCCCACTGAGCCACAGCCTCGGTCCCAGAGGCTTATACTAGGATTCAGACGGCTGTGTGTGCATAGACTTACGCCATAATTCCTGGTTTTTTAGAGGTTGACTCAGAGAAGGGTAAGATTCTCATGGCTTAGAGACTAGAAGCTGAGTTCTGTGGTCTCTAGCAGGCCAGCGGGCAAGGACAGGCTATCCCAAAGCTGCCTCCACTTCTCCTGATGTCAGCTCCCATTCTAGCTACTCCAGACATGCGTGGAGCCAGACACATCAACCCCTGTGCCTCCCATAGGTTGGTCATAGAAGATGCCAAGGGACCGGAAGTCACCCTGGAAATTTTAAGTGACAGCCTGCTGCAGATCACACTGCGCTGCAAACTGTACCTCTCGCTCCTGGAGTAAGTGCCCATGGTACTTCCTTCCCACATGCTGCCAGGAAGCAAGACCATCAAAAGCCACCACAAGGATCATTAGTCCTTTCCACTTGGGCATGCTTCAACGACTGACTTATAGGGAAACTGAGGCATAGAATGGGGAAGAGCCCACCCAGGATCATACAGTGAATCTACAGTGAGGGCCCTCTCCTGTTCTGTCTGCGCATGTGGGCACACTGACACTAATGGGGCCGTCTGGGAGGGGCCTGGGATTCCTGGGCTGGGAAGCTGAAGCAAGAGTATCACTCCACAGGCATGAGTCTATAACCAGGTATAATTCCAGTTACCTGCTACAGCAGGCCAAGTGCCCACCTGCACAGCTCTGAACTGTGAGTGGTTATACTTGTAACCACCAGCAATGGCAGCGATACAGACCCATGTTGGCTTGTGAAGGAGGGAGAGTCACAATGCCCTTTGGGAATATGCCAGCCCCTGCCTTTCTTGTGAATATGACCTTTTGGTGTGACTTTACCACTTAATAATGGAGCATTCTATGACCACTACCCCTGGAATGAATCTGCTTAGTTGCAAGCTAACCAGGACCCTTAGTTAGTGCTTGCATGAGAGATGTAAGCCCAAGGAAACACTACGCCAGAGTCAAGAGGCCCTAAGAAATGTGCCTCTGCTCCCTGAGGAACACATTATTGCCTTGGTTAGGATAGTGTGGCAATAGTAAGATTCATGACCCATGGACCTTGGCAACTAGGAGAATGTGTCTCATCTCAAGGTCACACTCAGTGTAGATATCTCTTGCCCTGTGAGGACACTGGCTCAATGCTGCCCGGTCTACCAGCAGATTCCACATTTTAAAGCACTCTCTTGGTTCCTAACGCAAGCCAGCTCATGACTTCTGGTCTCAACCTTGGAGTCTAGCTGGGAGCCTGCCCAGACACACTGTCCCTACAGGATCCTGTGGCTGGAAGTCATCAAGAACATACGCATTGGAGTACGGCTAGAACAGATAGGGAACAAGACCCAGGTGGCCCTCGAAGAGTGCCATACACCACCTGGAAGCCTCAACATTGAGATCCTGAAGCAGTGAGTACCTGGTGCTTCTGAACCGACCCTGGGTGTGACAAATGGCTGCTCTTCCTGCACTGGCCCAGCCCTTTCTGCAGTGATCCTTCTCTGAAACCCAGGGCTGGGGCTGCCTCTCCTTCAAAGTCACAAACTGTGCATGCCACCTGTCAGTCTCACCTGCCTCCACCCTGAAGGTCAGGGTTAAGACTCAACCTCTGCTTAGCTAATCCTAACAGTGGGTCCCAGTCAGATCCTGCCTTCTGGAAGCCTTGGTTGCATTGCTGACAGTACCCAACCCACATGGAATGGTCCTAGGAAGGAGATGTAAGAACCCACTTACATAGCACAGAAACTGACTCCCAAGGGATCAATCATTCATCTATTTACACAACCCAGAACCTCCAGGAAGCAGGACGTGATCTTTCCATTGCCAGTGGGGTCACTTCCTGTATGAAATTCCCAAAGACCTATATTAAGAAGAGAATACAAATCAGAACATAATGCAGAAAACTGGAGGGGGGAAGCAGGAAGAAGAAAATGGAGAGGAGGTGGGAATGCGAGCAAAGGGAAAGGTAGCCCCTGTGACCCTTCCTGCTGTCCTGCCTCAGTGGTACTCAGCTGCCCCTTCCCTGCCCACACCTTTGGTGCGCTGCATGGCTGACCCTACCCTGTCATCCCTCCCCTAGGGCAGACACCCTGTTGCCAAACCAGCTGCTGAAACTAGTGACTGAGATCCTGGACGGGTCACTGCCATTTCTCCTCCAGAAGATAGTGAGTCACGGGGGCGGGGTGTAGCCCCAAAGAGAGCCCCCCTACCTCGGCTCCATGCCAACGGGACTCCCTCTTCCCTTCCCCCTAGGTGTGCCCTGTGACCACAAACCTCCTCAACTTCCTGCTGGAAGACCTGCTACACATTATTCTTCGTATGTTGCTGCTGGTCAACTGTCCCTTGCCATGTGCCAGGCACCGTGTGTAGGAATATACCCAGAGACAGCACAATCCTACCTGCAGGGAGGATGCTTTCTAATGGGGAAAAAGAGGGGACAACATGGCTTGTAACCTTCATATGTTACTTCCCCTCTGAGTCTCAGTTTCCCTCTCTGTTAAACAGGATCAATGGAAAGCCCATAGATAAGGCCTATTAGAATAATACTAACAACCTGACCCAAAGTCAGCATACAATAGGAGGCCATGTGCTTAGCCATCAAGGAGCATACGGCTGAGCAGAGGAGAAGGAATTTCTCCCTGCCTCCCCAGCATCCTTCCCACCTCTACCCCTGGCTGAGTTAGGTTTCATTTCTGCACCATAGCTCCAATCATTTCGGGTCCCGATGATTTCCAGTACTATGTGACCAGCACAGAGTTCACAGAGGGAGCCATCCTGATGAAAGTGCAGGTAGGCAACCCTAGACTGCTGCAAGCCCTTGGGGAACCTGCTAAGAGAGGACAGAAAAAGAGAAAGGGAGATGGGGCCTCACCGAGTGGGGAGCGAAGGGGGAAGAGGAAGACAGGGAAGCGAGGAATCAGAAAAGGGAAAGGTCAACCAAAGAGGGAAGAAGATGGAGAGGCCACGGGCTGCTGACCAGTGAGTGAGTAAGACCCAGAAGAAAGCAGCTGAGTCAGATGGGGAAACTGAGGACAGAGAATGGCTGAGGACTGCCCAGCTCCTGCCCACTGCTCCTTGATGTCTCTCTGTAATAGAAGATAGGAGGAACAAGAGGGCCCAGGAGAGACAGGGTTCAGAGAATAGAGTAGAGTTTGATGGGGGTCAGGAAGCCAGGCTCTACGTCTTCTCCTGTGAGATTTGAGTGAGTACAAACGGAACTGTGACTGCTGTGTCAGCAAGGTGAGCTGAACCAGGTATCCACCAGGAGACCTGTCCCCACTGACCATCTTCCTTCCGCCATTTCTCTGAAGCTTGTGACTCCCTGTGGCCCACACCAGCGGGCCTCAAGGCCGGAGCATGTGGTTCCTCCACCTCTTCCAGCATTAGCCCAGGACAGCATGGCAGACTTTGCCTTTTGGCTCGAAATCTACAATGACATCCTGTCCTGTCTGTACACCAGTCAGGAGATCTTCGTGGAGCCCCAAGACTCCTCGGTGAGTGTGGGAAGTGGGCAAGAGGGAGGGACAGAATGTTCCTGCCCTGTTTCTTACATGGAAGAGCCAAGGCCCAGTAGAAAATCCACTTTCCCACTCTGGACTTGACCAGTCTAACCTGTTTCTAGCTCCTAATTATCCTTCAGAACCCTTCGCAAAAGTCCCTTTATTTGAGAAGAGGAACATGCACATGCCTTTCCTGTTTTCTTTATAACACATACCCATTCTTACACAGCAAATACTTAGGAAAGACTCTGTGGGCTGGCCCAGTGAGCACAGGGCCCCTATCACATAGGGATTAGAGTCTCATAGAGGAATGGAAATCTGAGCGAGAAAATATTGTGGTAACTGAATGACTTGAGGACACTGAGATGATTACTGGGGAGTAAGGAGTTTAGAGCTATTAACACCACAGACAGACAGACAGACAGACAATGGGAAACAACATGGCAGTCTCTGAAGACAGGCTCAGAGCCTTCCTGGCAGAGGTGGGATCTGAGGATGGAGAGGTGCCTGCGAGGATCTGTGAAAGAAATCCACTGTAATACCGTGTGCGGCCTGGCGGAGGCCGGGTTCTAACAGTCCATTCTTAGAATAAATAACTAGCTGGCTTTGCTTAAAGCAATTAGGGCAGCCAGGAGGCCACCTGCATACTGTCACCAGGGAAGGCAGACCTGAGGCTGGCCTCTGCAGTGGTGAGGAGGGCACACACAGGTCGAGGAGAATTAGCGCTTCCCAGGACTGAGGGGAACAATGAGCAAGGCATCCTATATCCCTGTTCAAAAGCCCGGCTCCTCTGTGTGGGTCTGGGCCGTCTGATCCCTGGCCTCTCTCTAGCTCTGTCTCTATACTCCCCTGCCTTCTAGCCACTCAGGCTGCACTGATTCCCAGCTCAGGGCTTTACACATGCTGGCCTCTCTGCCTGGAACATTATTCCTCCCTGGTCGTCTCGGTATGAATGTCATCTCCTCACACTGCCCCTTCAAGACTGCTGCATCTAAAGATGGAAGAAAGTGTGGCCTTCCTCTCTCTCTCTCTCTCTCTCTCTCTCCCTTTACTCCCTTTTTCTTACTCTTTCAAAACACTGATCTCATTCTTACTTTATATATAATTTCATATGTATATTAAATGATGTATGCAAGGTGCATATATATGTGTGTGTACATACATATGTTGAGCATCTGTAACTCCGATCTGAAATTCAAATGCTTCAAAATCTAAAAACTTTTCAAGTGCCCACACGACACCACAGTGAGACGTGCCACATCCAGGAAGAAACATTGCACAAAGAACGTCATTTTAAATAGTTACACAAATGAGGGCCCAGACTGGGGGAGTGGCCTGTTCAATATCATCCATAAGAGGGACTGGCTATAGATAAGGTCTCCTGTCTCCCACTGCTCGCATCTGTATCCCTCACAGGTACGACAGCTCTGAGACGGTTAGAACTGAGCCCTGCATCTGAACAAGTTCTTACAGTAGTGGACAGGGACACATCTGCAGGGTGTGTGCATCTGCAGGGTGTGCACGTCTGCAGGGTGTGCACGTCTGCTGGGTGTGCACGTCTGCTGGGTGTGCACATCTGCTGGGTGTGCACATCTGCTGGGTGTCCTTTAGAGCCTCGTTTGCTCCAGAGGAAAAATCAAAGTTGACCCATGGCCCATCACTAAGCAACTAGTAAATTTACAGCGACTACAGGCAGGGTAAACTAAGCCACCGTCCTTTGTAAGAACAAGATTGTTCTGCTGGTCTTGGCACTGAGTGGCATTAACGAGGCACAGGGCTATGTGGCCAGAATGCTCCTCTCTGCTCATGCTTGTATGTGAGCAGAAAGAGTTCATTTGGATATCCTTCAAAATGTCAACAACAGTTACCTCTGAGAATTGGATTCAGAGAGAAAAGAAAAGATACATTGGGTGAATTTTTCTTTAGACATTTCTATAGCTTTTTCTGTGATGATTTGTGATTTTGGAAAACCAATGGAGCAGAGATCCACTGTAGCTCAGAGATCAAGAATGAGCTTAGCACGTGTGAGGCCCTGAGTTCAATCCCACTACCTCCCTGGAAATCAGTAGAGCACAGATGGATGGGCAGGAATGTGATAAAGCAATGGCAGGAATCAAGCCCGCAAATATTCCCTGTGAAACCCTCTCAGCTCACTGTCTTTACAGCGCTTTTCATAGTTAAGAGGCTGTGGGTGTGGCTCAGTGAGTAGTGTTTCCCTAACAGACGCGAAGCCCTGGCTTCTATCTCGGGCATTGTGTACACCTGTAATCCCAGCACTTGTGGGGGAGGATCAGGAGTTCAATTATACAGTGAGCTTGAGGCAAGACTGATATGTGGCAAGCAAGACCCTGGCTCAAAAAAGTATAATAAAATGTTAGACTAAAAATGATCAAAACCATCGAAAGTTAACCTTTTCAGATAAGTGGCTCTGGGAAGCCAGACACATGATTGGCCCTGAGCTGAGGCTGACTCGTGCCAACAGTGCATCAAGAAGAGGCAGCCGTCTCCCTGAGCCCCCAGTTCGCTCAGAACACACCTGCAGGGCTCCACAGCTGACTTGGTCTTTACCTTTCTAGGAAACCGGCCTGTGGGAGCTGTTGTCCCTGAGTGCCCTGACGCCCAGGCCAGAGGTAGGTATAGTGTCTGCCCCTCCTCCAGCACCCTGGGCTAGACAGCCTGGACCAAAAGGTTTCATGGACATGTTCCATTTTTCTGCTGTGGACTCTGGAAGTCACTGCAGCCCTTTACAGTGTCAGGGTTGTAAAACATGAAAGCAGTCAAGACAGTGACTGTGACCATGGGCTGTCAGTGTTCACACTAAGCATGTTCCACCCTGCTAAGGCTTACCCAGGTAACAGCAAGGCAGGGCTCAGGGCCTTGAAGGAAGCATTGCTGAGGACCTGGAAGAACAAGGTCTCTGCTCTAGAATATGACCTCACTGACCTCTCCAAAAGCTCTTCTGTGTTCACCGGATGGACAATCAATTACAGCAGAGAAGCCTGTAGCGTTGTAGGTGCTAATGAATGTCCTTTGAGCACAGCACATCCGTTAGCTCATTTAAGCCACACGCCTTTATGGAGTGAGCACAATTCTTACCTTTATTTTACAAGAATGAAAATGGAAAGCACAGAGGGATTAAGAATTTTGTTTCAGGCTACACAGCTTGCAGGGGTAGAGCCAGGACTTTAACTCCCAAAATCAACACTGTGTATGCCCAGGACCAAAGGATGTGATCTCATCTCAGAGAAGTTCAAAGGAGCCAAGTAACTTCCCCTTAGCCACACAGCAGATATTGTAGGGCTAGAAGAGAAACCCAGTCCCCTGCCTCATCAGAGGGTCTTGTTCCCACCCTCCCAAGCCAGGGCCAGGGAAGGCTGCCTCTAACCCTCCCTCTACTGTCCCTGCTTTAACTTCATTCAGGTGTATAATCTGACCAGAGGGAGCCCGGGACTGATTATCAGCGCTCTGGATCCCCCCACTGTCCTCCTTGATGACTTCGGGGCCACAGTCACCCAGCAGGGCTTACTGATGCTGCAGGGGACCAACAATGCCTCCTCTGGTGCAGTTGCCTGGGTGAGAGAAACTGCAGGGATTTGGTTTCCAGTCTGCAGGCTGAGGGCAGGGATGGGATTGCTGTGACCAATCCTACCACCCTCTGCCAACGGTCTACATGTGGGCAGCTGTGCCCACTGCTGACATCCACATACTAGTTTCTGTACTCACTGAGGGCCTCCTCAGCCATGAAGAGGTTCCAGCTCCAGATCCTCCTGTAGGGTGAAGTTAGGGCTTTCAAAGGACTCTCCTAGGGATGGCTGAGTTACAAAGAGACCATACCAACAGTCATGGGGAGGATTCTGGGAAACGCAGCCCCTCGAAATTCCAATGGCTCAATTCTGAATCCCTGACCTCAGAACTGAAAAGCGCCTTGGGTGAGAAAGCAGAAGCATACTCTGCCACAGGTGTGCTGGATGGCATCCTAAGGGGGCAATGGGGTCCTTGGATCTTAGATCGCATCACTGTACGACCAAGAATTAGTTATCCCTCACTGGAAGTGAAGAGTGCTGAACCTGTTCATATGAATTAGAGGACTATCTACATCCCACAAAACCAAAGGGAGGCAGCTATGATGGTGCACACTGTAATCTCAACCAGTGAGAAACTGAGGCAGAGGGATCATTGAGACCAACTTGGGCAACATAGCAAGAATCCATTTTAAATAAAATGATGATGATGGTGATGGTGATGATGATATAGTAAGTTAGGCCTGTTGCTTATTGATAGAGCTCTAACCTAGTATGAGGCCCTAGGTTCATCCCAACATGTACACAGGCAAGGAGCCTACTGGCTTCCAGAAACAATGATTCCAGAATAAAGACCTTTCCATTGAACCTGCCTCTGGTTCAGGCCTGGCTCCTCTGCCTTCCATGAGTGTCCATCCCCACCAGACCCCACCCCAGGTGAGGCCATATAGGCATAGTATGGGAGAGACAGTGGCATGGGTACAGGATGAGGACCATGGAACAGAACCCAAGTTCATGGAGCTGGGTCTAGGGTTGGAACTGGGATGAGGTTGGTAGGGGTGAGGAGCTCTGTAGGAAATGGCTCCAACTCTTCCCTGCCTGTCTGCTTTCAATCCATCTCAGCGACTCCTCTCCAAAGCTGCATTCTCCACAAGAAGTCAGAAACTAAAACCCCAGTTCATGCCACACAGGTAATGGATTGTGATTTGGGAAATATAAGACAGTTTGGAGTGAGGGATGAGGAGAAAGGGGATGGTTAGGGATGACAGCCCCCTCTGTGCCCAGGGCAGGGCAGGTACTTAGACTCCCAGCTCACTTACCAGCTTACTCTCTTTCTTCTGGCAGCACTGTGGTCACCTTGGATTCCTACCCCACCATCATTGAGGAGCAGGTGAGTCCCTTTCTTCAGCCTTGTGTCTTAAAAGATCCATAAATGCACAGTATAAATACTCCCAAATCACTGACACAGTGACACGGTGAAAGCTTGAGTCATACTCTGTCCCTAATCTCGCCTCCCCCTGGAGCCCCAGACTCCTACTGGGGTAGGGTATGGCCTCTGAGGCTCTGGTTTGTCTGTTTAATCCTTTCGCATATATATAACAAATATTGATTGAGTACCTACTATGTGCCTAGCCTTGCCCCAGGTACACAGATGAGTCAGGTATCAACACAAAGATCCCCACCCCTCACATGCTAGCAGCCATAAGACCATATAAACCTCAGCAAAGCAAACTGTACAGTGCGGAGTCAGGTGATAGCACCATGAAGAAGTGGAGCCATTGTGAGGATCAGCAACATTAGAAAAGGAGTCTGGGGGCTAGAGAGGTGGCTCAGCGGTTAAGAGCACTGCCCTGGTTCAATTTCCAGCACCTACACGGCAGCTCACAACTGTTTGTAACTCCAGTTCCAGGGGATCCAACACCCTCACACAGACATACATGCAGACAAAACACCAATGTACATAAAATAAAAATAAATAAATCATTTATTTTAAAAAGGGGAGTCGGGGGATGTATTGAGGTGGCTTTTAAACAAAGACTCAAAGCAGAAGTGGGGAGACTAGAGACACCAGGAAGAGGTAAGCCAAAGACCCAAGACTAAATGTGCCCCCATGGGTTCAAGGAAGAGCCAGGGCTCTGGAGCAAAGTGCAAGACCCAAGAGGGGCAGGGCAGGTCCTACTGGGCTCATACTGGGGTGACTTGCCCTCAGACTGAGATGGAAGCCTTGTTGAGAGAGTGTAAGCAGAGAAGAAGCACCAAGAGAAGGCAATAGGCCCACAGCAGAGTGTAGCCAGCACAGCGTGGACGAGGTTCACAGGAGGGGGTAGTGGTGGCCCAGCACACAAGAGTCAGGGACTGGCATCTTTGAAGGTGGTCCTAACCAACAGGACTCCCAGCCGGGTCAGAGAAGGGGAAGGAACTGGGGACTCATCTAGGATGGGGCAAGCTTTTTAAGCGCCAGTCGTGTTCTACATGTTAAACACAGGGGTGCAGGGAGCTGTGCAACATGGCTGAGCCTACTAGCCTTCAGCCCTGAGCTCAAGCCACTGTTAATGCAACCTGTACCTCTTCCCCAAGGGTTGATCCTGCCCCTGCTTGGGAAGAAGGGTGCCACAGTAGGCTCTCCCCCACAGTCCACGGGTCCTCTCTGTAGGCTTGTATGTCACAGACTCCATTCCTAAAAGAGAAGAGTCACAGGGAGGTGGGGCTGAGTGAGTATATGAACACTGTAGGGAGAGTTCACTGGGGCTGGAACCCAGGCCTACCCTACAGAATATTACGGTCCTTGTCACATGGTTTTCACTTGCTTAGAATCTGCGTCAAAGACACTAAGACTCTTTTTCTCCAGTCTGGAATCTTGTCTGTGACATATAACAGGACACCCATGATACCAGGGTGACAATTTATACACTGTATAAGCCACCCACACCACAGACATGCAAAACATGTGTGTAGCAATAGCAGCCTCCCACCAGACAAAAAGCAGGAGTCAGGACAGTCCCGATCATGACCCTCTTGCGCACGCCTAGGGACAGGAGGCTTGCTGTTTCAACGTGTCCCGCTGTCAGCAGCTCTCAATACTAGAAGGATGTCTCTCACACTGACCCAAAGTTGGTCCCTGAGATGCTGTGCCCTGGGTTACCATAGACCCATCTGTTTCCCTCCCTGCAGAGATGGTACGTGGCTGATCGGGGAGGTGTCTCCTTCTTGGGCCCCTCAGTGTTGCCCTGACCCTTCACTAATCTGACACAAAGACTCTAAGGTCCTTCAAAAGCGGCATGTGGATAGATGTGGTGGCACCTGTAATCCCAGCACTAGGAAAGCTAAGGCAGGAGGATAGTATGTTCAAAGTCAGCCTAGTCCATACAGGAAGACTTTGGGTATCTTTTAAGGTGGTGTTTTTAGGACTTCTCCAGAATCTATGTGGCATCTGTATAGTAGTTTCCCCATCCTGGGTTGGGATGCACCAAGCCAGAGGAACTGAACTGTATGCTGTTTCCCTGTCGCAGGAAGAGCATCTGAAGGCCTTGCTCTTGGTGGTCCTGAAGAGGCAGTTCCTGCCTCACCATAACGGTGAGTCTCACTGAACCTCTCTGTTGGCCACCCATCACAGTACATGGCTGGAGGCAGCACCGGCTCTATCCACAGGAGCTGCAAACAGCTGTCATACTTGAGACTGGGCCCCAGGCAAAGCAGGAGGCAGTAGACACCCAAGCTTTCAGATGCAGTTGCGGAGGATGCTAACGCTGATGCAAGCTCAGAGCATGGACAGATGGCCAGATGCAGGGAAGGTGTAAAGCCACAAGAAGGGGCCCTCAGAGGGGAGGGGCCACTCAGCCTCAGCAGTTACATGTGGTCCCGAGTGGAATGCCAGATGGGCTGAGGCCAATCGGATGGCTGAAGTGGGTAGCTCACACTGTAAACATGATCAGCAGGGCAGGCATCGGTACCGACTAGAACGGCTGAGAGCTAAATGTCACAACACATCACCTTCCCTCTAGCTATCAGGAATCCAGAATTTTCCAAAACTCCCTGTCTCACCCTGGGCTCCTCAGATGCTGAGACAAGGCACTGTAGACATTTGGGGAGGTGAGTTAGGAAGATGAAGGAGCAATCCATAGCACTGGGCTTCCTGGCTTGGCCATTCCTTTGGAAGGGTGTGTGCCCATCCCCATGGTTACCTGGTCAGTGCCTGTGCCCCACTGCATGGTGAGTTTCCTATGAACACTGGTCCTCATGTTTCTCATTGTGTCCCTAGCTTTCTGTCCAGTGACTCACACCAAAGAAATGTACATAGGACATGGAGCCTGGCCCCACTGACTCTGGGAGATTGTCCAGCCAGGACTTGTCATCTTTCATATGGGCCCCTCCACAGATCCAGAGTGGTTAGGTGACTTGTCCAAAGTGATCCAGCAAATCTCTAGCCAAGCTCAGTCTAGAGTCCTGACTTCTTGCTTCCTCAATTGAGGGTCTTTGTGCTCTGAGTCACATTAGGAGAGCAATCACTTTGAGAAGTTGGCAGAGGTTCAAATACTGGCAAGGCTTCCATCCTGAGGAACTATGGTGGCCAGGGAAGGTTCTGGGCATGAAGTGAGCAAATCTGTTCAAAAAGGGAGTAGCTGGGCACAAAGCAGGTGGCAGTAGAAGGTCCCGCAGGGCAGTCGGAGAGGACAGACAAGCAAGAATTCACCTGCGAGGGGCTGGGGAGTTAGGGCCCACTCTTTCTGTGCCCACCACAGGCTCTCATTCAACACTTGTGTGTCACACCCTAGAACACCAAAAGACAACCCAGAAAGTGGGCCAGGCCCGGAAGTTGGTATGGTCATACGAGATCTAAACACCAGGCTAGGAAACTGCTCAAATGCCATGGGGTACTGTTCATACTGCAACCCCACCCAGAGGAGAAAAGGGCACTGTACGGTCATTGCAGAAACCCAAGAGGGCTGTAAGAAACAACTTGAGAGAAGCCCCATGGAAGAGACCTAACACGAGGGGTCCTCAGGCTGGGGACCCAGTGAGGTCTGAGGACAAATGGGAGGACAAACACATGGGCTCTTCCTCCTCCACCCACCCCACACCTGACTTCAAGAGGATACCAGATCACTCCAAGCCCAGAGTGGCTGGGAGAAACGGGGTGGGGGGAAGTCTGCTCAACACAGTGTGATAGGCACAGGAGGAGGCTATGCCAGGCCCTCAATTTTTCACAATTCCATTTATGGAAAATCATCTAGCCAAATAGTTGATGAAAGTACTGATAGCAAACCGACCAGCTCTGTAAATTTACTGATTTGAGGCTTAGTTTGCAGCTATTTGGGGAGCAAGCATGGATACTGACTAACAGAGCCCATGTCTAGTGTTTTCAGTTGATTCTGGCCCTGTCTCATCTATTTGTGAGATGTTTCATTTCTGCCGACATGTCAGCTCGTTTTAAGCTCAGTGAGAGAGAGAATTAGGTAAAATACATTTCCTGAGCAGATTCGCAGGAAACCTTCAATCTTCATCAAACTGAATCTCCCTTAAACACCACACAGGACAGCTTCCTAACAATGTGTTCACAGGTCTGGGACATATTTAGTAAGAATGTTCCTTTAAAAGACAGGTGTAAGTAAAGGTGTGGGGAGGTGATCCGACCTGTGGCTCACAGGACACGTGTGTCCCAACACGTTTATAGACAGCAATGTCACAATGGAATGTTGAAAGTGGTACTCCTCTAGTAACGTCTCCTTTCGCTAGGCTGCTTGCTGTCAGGACTGCCTGGACAAGGGGGATTAAGGTGCAAAAGGTCCCCTGGCTAGGGGGCTGTGAAGGGTAGCACCCAGAGTCTCCCAAGCACACCTGCCAGACAGTCCTGCCCTCCAGGCCCTGAGCGTCTTCCTGCCTTCCTCTTGCAGAGTGGCTCAGAGAGCATGGCCTCCCACTGCCCAACATCAAGGGCATCTCCTTCAGCCAGGCCCAAGTGGACTTCTCTGAGGTAGGTGCAGAGGGAGGGGTCTCCCCATGATGCTCAGCTAATGAGCTGGAAGTCAGAAGCTGAGGTCACTCCAGGCCCTCTGCCTCTCATGTCACCTCTACCTCACAACCATGCTGGATGCGACACCTGCTATAAGGTGACTTAGACCTTGGGGGCCAGCACGCGTCACTCAGGAAGCCAGAACTCAGGGCTCATCAAGAGCACCTCCCCTTACACAGACTATTCTCCCCACTTTGACTGAGAGGAAACTCAAGGCTCAGAAGGGCAGAAAAGCAGGGCCAGGGTGACAAAGCAGGAGTCTTTATCTGACCTCCCAGTCTATATCTTAGGCAGGACCACCCACCTCCCTAGAACTAAGGTATCCTGGTTCCCAAACAGTACTGTTGTGCCCAGTGCCCACGCTCTGCAAACACCCAGGGGCAAGAAGCAGGGATAAGCTTAGAGGGCCTCTGATGTGCTGCTGGGGATCTGCTCCCAGGCCTGTCCTACTTCCTGTCTTGGTTCCCAAAGGGCGAAAGTTCATTATGGAAAGTTCCAGGGATGGGGGCTCAGTGGTGAAGAGTGTTGCTGCCCTTCCCAGCACCCATAGCCAGAGGAGGCTCACAACCGCCTGATACTCCAGCTCCAGGGAACCTGATGCCCACTTCTGGTTTCCACAGATACCTGCACACACATGGCATACAGTACATACCTGCACTCACAGACATATAAACATACACAGGTATAAAAACAAATTTAAAAAATCTTTTTGAAAGATGAAAGAAATATTTAAAGGAGGTTTCAGAAGAACAAGTTGGAAGGCAGACAGAAATCCAATCTCACAGTTAACAGAACACATCTCTCAGAATGAAATGCCTTCTGAAAGCTGAACATGGCCACAATAAACTCCAGATTTGGGCAGGGAGACAGACAGAGACACTGAGACAGAGACGGAGATGGAGACAGAGACAGGGATCTTGGGAAATGGGGAAGGAGGTTGGTAGGAAGGGCAGGGCTCAGACACACTCTTCACTTCTTCCCTCCCCTTGAGATGATTACCAAGGTTGTAGCACATACTTGTAATCCCGGCACTCAGGAGGTGGAGCCAGGATGATCTGAGTTCCAGGTCAGACTGGACTACATAACGGGACCCTGTGTCAGAAAGAAAGAACAGAAGAGAAGAAGAAGCAAAAAGACGAATGAACTTGAGCTTTAGGACCCCCAGCTTAGACCCTGGGCTTCCCATCCCCATTCCTGACTGCAGAAATCTGCCTTCAGGAACCTGAGGTGGGAGCAGCAGCGACATTGCCTCATCAGGCCACTCAGTGTCTTCCACCCCCATCCCCCACCACTGCTGCTTCTGCCTAGGGGCCTTAGAGAGTCCAGAGAAACCTTCACTTGAGTAGGTCTGGAGGAACACATCCAGGTAATCCAGGGTTTGTGACTGTCCTAAAAAATAATGCCACCAGTCCTGGAGCATCAGATCAGGCGAATGACCGGAGCCAGGACACAGCCAGCACCTTCTAGCCACCGAAGCCGTCTCATGACCAGACCTGTGAAAAGCAAGGCACACTTGCTGATCTGCTTCTCGGCTGCTTTGCATCATTGCTCGGGTTGCAGGTTACAGAGCACACCATGCAGACTGTGGTTTAAAGAAAAAAGTCACCTGGAGCTGAGCGGTGTACAACACACGCACCCTTCCAGGGCTGCCCTGCTTGTTCTTCCAGCCCTCATTGTCCTCCGTTCACTAGTCAATATACCTCAGGAAGCACTCCAAAGTCTAGTGGGCCTGTCCTCATAAATGCTCCCAAGACCTCCTCTTCGTCTCTGCTCTGCACCCTTACCCACTCAGTCCCTGGCTCTCCTTTCTTAGTCACAGGTGTGGGCCCCTCTGGTGTGTCAACCCTGGGACAGCACTGTGTGAGAAGTTGGGGCACACACGACTCTGCTCTGTCCACAGAATTACATACTACTGACCATTCCCGAGTAGCTGCTCTGCAGAGGACCAGTCCCTGGGAAAGCACATTTTATGAGAAGTTGGGGCACACACAAGGACTCTGCTCTGTCCACAGAATTACATACTACTGACCATTCCCGAATAGCTGCTCTGCAGAGGACCAGTCCCTGCCCCAGCTGCACATGCTCAAGACCCTAAAGTCCATGATCTGCTTCAGTCCCAGTGGAGTTCTCAGCTGTAATAAAGATGTTTCCTCTGTGAGTCTGGGTCTGAGTTTGCTGTGTTTCCTGGCAGTAGGGAAGCGACCTTGAAGGGTTTAGATGAAGGGCATCCTTCCCCGCTCTAGGTCTCCTGTGAACCTGCAGGAAAGTGCTCTGTGTTCTGTCCCCGGCAGAAGGAAAGACTGGGAATGGTGGTTCATACCTGTCAGCCCAGAATGTGGGAGGCTGAGGTAGAGGAGCTGTCACGTGTTTGGGCCAGCCTAGGTTACAAAGTGACTTCCATGTCAGCCCAGGCTAGAGGGAAACCTAGCCAGAAAGGGGCAGGGGTAAGGAGAAAGAGAAAAATAAAAAAGAGAAAAGCCTTTTGACTCTTCATCCCTGCAAGGGTTCTTGTTTTAAAAAGAAAATAAGGGGATATGCTGTGGGATAATGCTCTTGTGCACTGTAAAGATTTGTCACTTCATACTGGCTTAATAAAACACTGATTAGCCAGTAGCCAGGCAGGAAGTATAGGCAGGACTACCAACTAGGAGAATTCTGGGAAGAGGAAAGGTAGAGAATTAATTACCACCCAGACACAGAGCAAGCAAGATGAGAATGCCTTACTAAGAAAAGGTACCAAGCCACATGACTAAACATTAATAACAATTATGGGTTAATTTAAGTTATAATAGCTAGTTAATAATAAGCCTGAGCTAATAGGCCAAACAGCCTATAATTAATATAAATCTCTGTGTGTTTCTTTGGGACACAAGGACCAGGTGGGACAGAAACTTCTGTCTACAGCACTCTCCATCAAGGGTTCATCCAAATAGGCCTCTTGATCCCTTTAAAACAGAGGAAAGTGGGGTTCTTGGGTATAACAGAGGCTTTTCTAGCCTCAGGCAGGCCTGATTCAGGAGTTTGAGTGCTAGTAGCTAGGAGTCAGGCAAAATTCCTTCCACTGTGTTCGTGGCTCCAGAGTGTCTCACAAATTCACAGAGCAAATGTCATGAACCATAAGGAGGGTGAGTTTTTAGAAATAAATTCATTATAGGTTCAGAGGTGAGAGCTTAAGAGAGAAGAAGCAAGACAAGCTCCTGTAGCAAGAGAAGGGCCTGGGGATGAGGTGCCATTAAGATGCCATTAAGCTGGTAGTTTGAGGACTTTTTATATGACTTATGGCAGAAAATGGGTTGTTGGAGTTGGTTGGCCCAGTTATCCCACCCATTAGGTATCCATGCGCCTCTCCATCCCTTGGTATCTGAACTGCTGTTTTGGTCACACCCTCACCTACAGTTTCCTGGCAGCTGTATAAACAGAGAAGAAAGATAACAAGAAGTGGGGGCAGGATCTAAAGCCCTAAAATATTTCTGGCATTTTTACCTTCCAGTCAGGACAGAGCTGAGGACAAGAATCAAGATCTCCGACTTCAAAACTGCCTGAGCCATTTCTGTTTTCTGTTCCCATCAAACCCTCAGAGGCAGTGACCCTAACTGCCATGAGGAAAGGGGTAGGGTGGCAACTGGTCTTCTGGCTGGGCGGGGCTATTGGGGGAGGCAGTCAGGGTACCTCTCTGGTGGTCCTGTCTAAAGAACTTGAAAGTGCTTCCATGGTTTCATTTGTGTAGCAGCCAGGTGACATGAGGAAAGAAAGCCTTTGGTGTCTGGACAGCATGTGAAGGAGAAGGCGTAAGAAAAACAAAGACTTAGCAAAGTGGAACAGGAACCCTTTGAACATTAGAAATTATTCCACTCCACTATAAACAGATAGGATATCAACAAAAGCTTAACATTCTAGGGCTCAAGAGAACCAGGAAAAGGCAGAACAAAGGAGATTTTTATTTCAGATTCAATCTCTGACTCAGGAGCTGGAGATGTACCTCTGTGGTTGAGAGCACTTGATGCTCCCCATGAGGATCCGAGCTTGAACTCCAGAACCCATACCAGCTGGTTCACAAACACCTGTAACTTCAGCTCCAAGGGACCAAACACCGTATTCTGTACTCAGTGGGCACCTGCACCTACACACACACAGACAAACACACAGTCACACACACCCATGCACAAAAATAAAATAAATCTTTAAAAGAATAAAAATGAAATGTCTGAATGAAAGCCCACAGCTCACCAGAGCATCCAACTATGTCTGGCTTACTGGGCTTCTTGTTAGGTCTTTCCTTCTCTGGCCTTCAAGGGTTGACTCAAGAGCCATGAACCCAAGATTTGCCTTCAGGCACTGTGAGCACGTTGGAGTGGCAAGAATCACTGCATAAGTCAGTGCAAGTCAACTCTCAAGAAGGAGAAAGACAAGAGACTTAACCCTCTTTGACCTTCAGGTTGGTACAATAGTGAGCCTGTCTCTGGGCAGCAGGTCCTATGTAGGCACAGAGGTGTTGAAAGTAAGCTAAATGCCTGCATCTGGGTAGCAGGGTTTTTTTCCTCTTTCTTTCTTTCTTTCTTTCTTTCTTTCTTTCTTTCTTTCTTTCT